AATAAATAAATAAATAAATAAATAATAAATAAATAAATAAATAAATAAAAAGCATTCTGAACTCCACCAATGATTGAATTGAACCAAACTTGGCACACAGAACTCCCATGACCAACAGAAAATACTGGAAGAGTTTGGTGAGCATTGACCTTGAGTTTTAGAGTTGTAGTTCACCTACATCCAGGGAGCACTGTGGACTCAAATAAAGATGGATCTGAACCAAACTTGGCATGAATACTCAATATGCCGAAATGTGAACACCGGTGGAGTTTGGGGGAAATAGACCTTGACATTTGGGAGTTGTAGTTGCTGGGATTTATTGTTCACTTACAATCGAAGTGAATTCAGAACTCCACCAACGATGGAATTGAACCAGACTTGGCACTCAGAACTCCCATGACCCACAGAAAATACTGGAAGGGTTTGGTGGGCATTATTTATTTATTTATTATTTTATTTACTCCATTTGTATACCGCATTTATCAGCCTGAAGCGGCGACTCAATGCGGTTTACAGTAAAAATAAACAACACTGACAATATATAAGACACACGTACACAAACGACACACATATAGTCATCAACGCCTCAATTAGAGTCAGATCCCGTTCTCACAGTCCTTTTTCGTTCCTTGACCTTGAGTTTTGGAGTTGTAGTTCAGCTACACCCAGATAATGGAAGGAGGGCTTTTGGTGGGAGGATTGGCCGTTCATTTCCAAAAAGTAAGAGAAAGACAGGTGGAGAGATCTTCATCGTTCTCTGCCAAAGGGGTTCCTGGACCATCAGAAATATATGTTTTCGGAAGGTCTTTGGAGACCCCTCTGAAACCCCCCTTGTGACCCCCTTAGGGGCCCCAACCCTCAGGTTGAGAAACACTGCACTAGTGGCTTTATGCTGCTGCTTTTGCAGTTGCCCCAAGTAATTCAGCCTCCTGGTAATTGTGATAGACCGAGGGCCATCAAAGGTTTGGCAAATTTCAGAGCTCTCATGCAAAACCAGGACAGTTGTGGAGGGAAAAGCAATAAGATCCAACGTGGATTCACTGCCCGTGCAGATTCACTAGATTTCCCAAACCGCTGGTCTTACTCTCTATGATCATATTCCTACTGAAACAGTTTTGAAGTGAAGGGGAGAAAGGATCTGATAGAGCCTTTTAAACTTACTGAGATTATTAAAATGGAGAGAAAGGGGTGTTTGAAATGTAAATAGAAATGCAAAACGTGCTATATGTTGATGGAGTGACAAGTATAGTCTTGATTATAGTAATGAATACTAGTTCAAAGGCAAACATGGATGATTGGTTTTGCTTACCAGCATATATAAGCAGGTGAACTCATATCCAGTAAAGAGAAGTCTTGATAAGTTATTGAGACAAGGTGGTGGACCCTTGGTTTGGTACCATAAGAGAATAGAGAAGGCATAAAATAGTCTCTTTGTCAAGTTAGTTTTTGGCAGTGTTTCTCAACCTAGGGGGGTCGCGAGGGGGTGTCAGAGGGGTTGCCAAAGACCATCAGAAAACATAGTATTTTCTGTTGGTCATGGGGGTTCTGTGTGGAAAGTTTGGTCCAATTCTATCATTGGTGGGGTTCAGAATGCTATTTCATTGTGGGTGAACTATAAATCCCAACAACTACAACTCCCAAATGGCAAGGTCTATTTTCTCCAAACTCTACCAGTGTTCACATTTGGGCATACTGAGTATTTGTGCCAAGTTTGATCCAGATCCATCATTACATGAGTCCACAGTCTGGATATAGGTGAACTACGACTCCAAAAACTCAAGGTCAATGTCCACCAGACCTTCTCAATATTTTCTCTTGGTCATGGGAGTTCTGTGTGCCATGTTTGATTCAATTCCATCATTGATGGAGTTGGAGCCCCCGGTGGCTCAGTGGGTTAAACCCCTGTGCCGGAAGGACTAAAGACCGACAGGTCGCAGGTTTGAATCCGGGGAGAGGCGGATGAGCTCCCTCTATCAGCTCTAGCTCCTCATGTGGGAACATGAGAGAAGCCTCCCACAAGGATGATAAAAACATCAAAATCATCCGGGCGTCCCCTGGGCAACATCCTTGCAGATGGCCAATTCTCTAACACCAGAAGCAACTTGCAGTTTCTCAAGTCACTCCTGACACGTCAAAAAAAATTGATGGAGTTCAAAAGGCTCTTTGATTTAAGGTGAACTATAAATCCCAGCAACTCCAGCATTACCAAATGACAAAATCAATCACCCCCAACCCCACCAGTATTCAAATTTTGGGCGTATTGGGTATTTGTGCCAAATTTGGTCCAGTGACTGAAAATACATCCTGCATATCAGATATTTACATTACAATTCATAACAGTATCAAAATTACAGTTATGAAGTAGCAACGAAAATAACGTTATGGTTGGGGGTCACCATAACATGAGGACCTGTGCTAAAGGGTTACAGCATTAGGAAGGTTGAGAACCACTGGTCTATGGTAATATTGGCCATTTGAAAACACCCCTTGGCCTTGTTACACAGTTTATTTAACCTGTAAATCTTTTTTAGCTTGTAGGAGCCTTCTCACGAGCCCTGGACTGGAGCAATTCTGTTGAGAAACATTAAGCCTTTATGGAGCGATTGCAATATATCCTTTAGGGTAGCAAAGAAAACGGTGCCAATTAAAATCCGCCAAAAAGAAACCAAGAACAAGCAAGTGAAGATCAGACCATTGATCTCTTGTGCTATTGTCAATTTTCTAGGCTTTAGTTTTTGTGTGATCTCTTTCTTCAAAGGCTGGTGTGTTGCCCTCTTCTGGGCTTTCCGGCATCAATGGTCCTTTCTTGTTCTTATCTTTGGCTGTACCCATGGTCTTGGTCTCCTTCGACCGCCTCCATTCTTGTTGGCTTCCCCATGCCCTTTCTGTTGCTTCCTCCCTTGTGCCCCCACAACTCCATTGTTGAATTCACCGAGGAGGGAGGGGGAGCTGGTGTATAGAAAGAAAGACGTGAAGGCTGGGTTGAATTCTGTGGGCGAGAACAACAGGATTCGGTATCAGTCATCCAATTCCGCAAGCGAATGAGGGACAAAAGATTCTTAAGTGCTGCTCACAAAGGGGGTGGAGGTGGAATCAAATGCTCCTTATAACTGCCTTGTAAACATCTTTCTTCTTAAAAGACAGGGTGAATGTTCCACATGTCTAAGAGATGAGTAAGTGGGGTGGGGCAGATTCCAGGATCCCTGTCATAGAGGTATTGGGCTTAATTATCCACATTTGCATATATCAGGGGGCTGCTTGTAATGCTGCTTGTGTGGCATTACACAGCCAGTCGCCATCTCATACATTTTTCATTGCTTTTCCCTGCATTAATTTGTGGGTTATTCTTCATAACCTCTTCAGCTGGTAGCTTGTCAGAATATGTTTCCACACACAGTGGCTTTGGAAAGCTGATTATGCTAATAACCCCACATTTCCAGGCAGAAATTGTGAAACACATACGCAAAGCAAATGGATGCCATATTGCTTTTGTGCCTCATTTTAATTTTTTGTTACACTCGTTACTTGGGGGTTCTCTGCTCCAAGCATTTCTCCAAATACAAGTATTATTTTTTGTGCGGATTTCATAACTTTGCTGTTGATGCTCATTTCAATGCATTTGTTGTTATGGTGTTTTAAATATTTTATTCTAAGCTGTCCTAGTAATGTACGTGAGGGGCTCAGTGTTAAGTCACAACAAATAAATTGTCACCTTGTATATTTATTTATTTATTTCTCGCATTTCTATCTCATCCTTCTCAACCCCCGAAGGGGGGACTCAGGACAGCTTACAATAGGCCCCATTCCGAAGCCATTACATAACAAATGACAAAATTAAAACCACAATTAAACATAAAAGCATAATTAACAATACATTGTATTATCGAAGGCTTTCATGGCCGGAATCACTGGGTTGTTGTAGGTTGTTCCGGGCTATATGGCCATGTTCTGGAGGCAATTTTTTCTGAACTGAACCACCTAAACTGGGCTCTACAGGCCAATGGATACTCCACCTCAGACATCAGAAGAGCTGCAAAACCGAGAACAAGCCACGAGAGTAAAGATGAAGATCCACCCAGAGGAAAAGTGTTCTTGCCATACATCAAGGGAACCACTGACCGCATAGGGAAACTGATGAGGAAACACAACATACAAACCACTTACAGACCCACCAAGAAAATCCAACAAATGCTACGTTCAGCAAAGGACAAGAGGGATCCTCTCACCTCTGCAGGAGTCTACCGTGTACCATGCAGCTGTGGACAAGTCTACATAGGGACCACCAAACGCAGTGCCCAGACACGCATCAAGGAACATGAAAGGCACTGCAAACTACTCCAACCAGAGAAATCAGCCATAGCAGAGCACCTGATGAACCAACCTGGACACAGCATATTATTTGAGAACACAGAAGTGCTGGACCACTCTCACAACCACCATGTCAGACTACACAGAGAAGCCATTGAAATCCACAAGCATGTGGACAACTTCAACAGAAAGGAAGAAACCATGAAAATGAACAAAATCTGGCTACCAGTATTTAAAAAAACTCAAAAATTACAACAGCAAAACAACAGAGGGGAAACAAACAGGCACATAAAATCACTCTCAACAAAAGATTCCCCCAGGCGCTTCCAAGCCATTGAATGCAAATCAAGGTGATCAGCTGAAACATTCACACCTAGCCCCAGCAGACAAAAGTCCTTTGTCTCACCCTGGTCATTCCACAGATATATAAACCCATTTTTCCTACTTCCAACAGACCTCACTACCTCTGAGGATGCTTGCCATAGATGCAGGCGAAACGTCAGGAGAAGAATTGCCTCCAGAACATGGCCATATAGCCCGGAAAAACCTACAACAACCTAACAATACATTGTTAGAATGGTGACAATAGGCTTTGTAATGGCCAGAAAATTACATTTAATAAAAGGTTTAGAGAACTAATTGTAAGGTTGCCCAGGCCTTTTTCTAGCTTTCCCTCTCTTTCTCTCTCCCAGGCATTGTCCGTGCCTCCAGTGTATTTCCTATCCTAAGCACAATATTACTCTTACTTGGAGGGCTCTGCATTGGAGCGGGCAGGATTTACAGCAGCAAGAACAACATCATCCTCAGCGCTGGGATCCTTTTTGTTGCAGCAGGTGAGTGATCTCATGCAATCCTCCTTTTCATCATTAATTTTCAAACTGCTATTCATGGGTGGAGGGAGGGCAGCTGATGATCCAGTAATAGTACCAGCAAATAATGGATTATTATAGGAATTCTGTCAGCAGTAAAGGAAGTAGATGCAGTGGTACTTCTCTCTAATACCATCAACACTCCAGTCTGGTTTTGTGGCACTGGGGTCTGTGGAAGAAAGAGTAGAGGAAAGGAAATAATTGATCCATAACTTTTACTGGATCTCAGCTCTTTCCTCATACGGCATTCTGATTGTGAAGGGAAAGAGTTCTGTCTAATAATGTATTTTATCAAGAAGCTTGAGCCCCCGGTGGCGCAGTGGGTTAAACTTTTGTGCCAGCAGGACTGAAGACCAATAGGTCTCAGGTTCAAATCTGGGGAGAGTGCGGATGAGCTCCCTCTATCAGCTCCAGTTCCTCATGCGGGGACGTGAGAGAAGCCTCCCACAAGGATGGTAAAACATCAAAACATCCAGGCGTCCCCTGGGCAACGTCCTTGCTGACGGCCAATTCTCTCACACCAGAAATGACTTCCAGTTTCTCAAGCCACTCCTGACACGCAAAAAAATTTTTTAAAAAATCGAGAAGTTCAAGGTGGCATACCCCATGCTCAATCACATTGGGCTACTATCTTTTGACATAACAGCTAACATAACCTTTTACACTTGTAGTGCATTATAACCCACATACACACAGGGATATGTCCCAAGATAACATACATGTGGATACCCAAAACTGTGGACCTATATTTTGACTATACTTGGGTCAGAAGCATACCATAGAATCATACTGGTAAACCTAGAGAAACCCATAAACACTTCTGGGGTGCAGATATTTTTTGGAATGTGGGTAAGTGGATAAGGAAAGGCATGTAAGACTCCACAATAGAGACTGTGGTCGGGTTATAGAACATTGATGGAGTCCATCTGGTTTAAACACTACAATAGAGTCACCTCAGTGGCCTTCCAAGGATTTCCCAGCGTTCCCCGAGGATGATGGACACAGGGTAAAAAGAGGAAAATAGCCAGACACTTTTCTGCTGCTTTCCTTGGTATCTTCCAGTCTATAAATGGACACCTTGGTCAGTTTTTGCATTAAAAAGTAAGTCATTGGTAGACAGAATATTTTAAAATATTGGTGAATTGATCAAAAACCTGTTGTTGTTTTGAACTCTGACTAGACAAATCCGGGGCTGACAATAATCTCTGCAGTTCAGGACTTATTCTGCACAAAGTACACACATGGCTGTTTTTGTGCAAAAACAGCCTTTTCACAGAAAGTAATCAATAAATTATAGCGAAAATAATGATGGTTCCAGATTTAGATCAGAGCTTGGTATAATTACTTCTTGGATTCTAATTCCAAGCGATCATGCACACTGGAAGAATCTGCGATTTGTTGATCCAAAAAAGACATTTCCAAGTTCTGGTGCAGACATTTATTTATAAATGTCTGCATGTGGAGCTGCTGTTTATTTATAAATGTCATTAAATGCAAATGGAAGGAAAGCTTCTGATTTCCTCCTTCCAGCTATGCCAGAAAGAAAGAGTGCACACACCTAAAGTTCACTATGGGTTGTTCCAATCATGATAAATCTTGGTTTGTCATGATGTCCAAGTATAAACAATGTACTTTTCAGTTATATGACTACTTTAATTGTGTGGTTGTGTCTCCTAACCTGATTCTCCCCTTCCCCCAACCTACTTTATCTGGCATCAGTTACAAGCATAAAAGTTGGTTCATTCTCCTGAGGATTGGGATGTGGATGAATTACACCTCCATCCCCTTTGTTGCATTCTGGCCTTGAAGCACCTCTGCGCCACACAATGCATCACACAAGACTCCAGGATTTCTAACTAAATAGTTAATTGAAAAAGCAAATATAAAAAAGCAAAAAAGTATCAAAAGCAATGTCCAAAAAAGCAATAGAAGAAAAGGCTATTACTAGGCAATAGTCCACCCATAAGAGTTCCAAAAAGACAAGATACATGAAGAAATCAGGATTCAAAACATAGGCATAAAGCCATGAACTGTAATCCAAATCATAGGTAAAAATTAGGCCTGGGTAACAACGGAAAAATTTGTTTCTAAAATCGATTTGTATTTGGGTTTGTTTTTTTGTTTCGATATTTAAAATAATTACAAAATTTTCCTTTTAAAAAGTTCGATATTTACGAAATTTCGTAAATGGTAAAAAATTAACGAATCGATTTCCGAAACAATAACGAATCGATTCGTTAATGGCGGACGCGACCGCGAAATACGCTAAAAAACCTCCAAAACCTTCTGAAGCTTCCCTCTCCCTCTGTTGTTGACTGTTGGTGTGATATTATATATTTTTTTCACTAGTTAAACCATAAAACTGGCCCAGACATGCGGAAATAATAACGAAACGACCTCAAAACAATAACGAAACGAATACAATATCGAAATACGAAGCATTTACAAAACGTTTTTGAAAATTCGTTTTTTAAATAATTGCTCCAGAATGGTTCGTTATCGTTTTGTAATTGAAAAAATTAACGAATTATTAACGAATTACGAATTAACGAAACGAAACCGCCCAGCCCTAGTAAAAATCCATGAACAGTAATCCAAACATTAGGTGTGAATTCATAAACATGAAAACCAAGGCTTGACTTCGGCAAAAATACAAGAGACAAGATTCATGAACATGAGAGCTATCCCAGGAACTTGACGGTAAAGGAATATTGCCTGCTCTAACCCCTTGAGTAAACAATGCTTTAACTTAAAGAACACAAAGCCATGAAGTCATGCCTTTGGCATTTGCTTTGTTGTTTCAGGGATTTCTCACTCTGTTGTTTCTCATGAATTCTCTGTGGTCTCCATAATCTGGCTTCCTCCCTCGGAGGTCAAGCTTTAAACTGCAACTGACTATAGTTGTGTTCCCAGGGGCAAGATCCTTTTCCTCCAGTTCCTTATCACCCATTGCCAAGGAACGACTAGGGAAAAAGTTTTCCCATCTTCTGTTGTCTCAACAACTCTATCCCCGCTCTACTCTGAAGCCGTTTCTCTCTGATCACAGACAGACACATGTTCCCAGTCAGAATTGTGATCCTCATTTTCCACACTGGCAAGCCCATCAGTCCCCTCATCCTCATCCTCTGGCTGAACCACAGCACCCAGCCAGTGAGGCAGCAACAAGGAATCCTGCTTCTGATCATCATAGGGCCCTCCCAGACAGGCCCTTAGAAGTGAGAGCTCCTGCTTCTTCAAAAGGCGCATCCAGATGACGTCCCAGAGAAAAGCAAGTGCATGCGGCACAAGGGAGGAAAACTCTCCTTTGTCCTGAGATTATTTTTTTGCTGGAAAGACACAGGTCTTTCAAAAGAACCAGTCTTTCCAGTTTTGGGAGCTGTGTGGATTGGGCCCGGAAAATGCGTCTCAATCCACACAACTGTCTCAGGATTTTTGGGCTGCTGAAGTCCAAGAAACCCAAAACAGCCCCCATCCCCTCCCCTTTAAAAGCCTTTTAAAAAACAAAATAACTCACCAGGCCTCCATTGTCCCTTCTCCGACCCTCTCCTGGGTCATACCAATGACACACCTGGAAAAGGGGGATGAGGAGAAAAATCGCTCTCCCTCCCCTCCCCCCTTTTCTAGGCCCGTCATTGATACAACCCAGAAGAGGGCCGAAGAAGAGAAAATTGAGACCTGGTGAGTTATTTTGGTTTTTAAAAGGCTTTTAAAATGTGTTTTATTTTCTATCCATCTGGACACCCACCCCAGAAACACGCACGTTCAGGTGAGGGGGTGGACTAGAAACCAGGAAGTTGCATGTTCCCGGTTTATCCTGCTGTCTAGAACCGCCCATAATCTCAGGGCCCTTGCAGACAGGGCTAAATCCTGGGAGGAACTGGGATATTTAACCCTCCCATGTAGCCAGCCCCATCTCCTCACCTCCTGATGTGTCATTTGGACACATCAGAAGCTGTCTTTGAGGGGGTCTACACATGCATCCAGACACCTCTGGTAAGTTTTGGGGGCAAAATGGAGGGCTGGCAGAGGAGGATGGGGGTGCCATTCCGCTCCTTCAATCATGAATATTCAGGGATTATATGATTACAGATCTGCTGTGGGTTTGTAACACCAAAATACGTATCCATTAGGGCTGGGCGATTTCGTTCGTTAATTTCGTAATTCGTTATTAATTCGTTATTTTTTTGATAACGAAGTGATATTGAACCATTCAGGAGCAACTAAAAAACGAAAAGAATTTTTTCAATTCGTTTCGTAATTGTTTCGTAATTGTTTCGAAATCGATTCGTAATCGATTCGTAATCGTTTCGTTATTATTTCCGCATGTCTGGTGCAAGTTTTAGGGTTGCTGTTTGTTTTCTCAGTGAAAAAAAAATTATCACACCAACAGTCAACAACAGAGGGAGAGGGAAGCTTCCCGTCCCATTTGGAGGTTTTTTTAGCGTATTGCGCGATCGCGCCCGCCATTAACGAATCGATTCGTAATTGTTTCGAAATCGGTTCGTAATTGATTCGTAATTTACAAAATTTCGTAAATATCGAAATTTTTTTAAGGAAAATTTCGGAATTCTTTTAAAAATCGAAACGCAAAAACCCCCTAAAAACGAATCGAGTTTAGAAACAAATTTTTCCGTGGTTGCCCAGCCCTAGTATCCATAAGTCTGGTCCTGAATGCCAGATACTTCTTTATTAAATCTTTCCCCTTGTCACTACAGATTTTACTGGTTTAAAGGCGCTATCCAGGCTACTAAGTCCTATCCTCAATATCCTAACTGGGATATCTCTTTTTAAGTTCAGCTAAAACCCAAAATAGCCTCACTAGAGTGACAGGGAAGCCACCAGCCACTACTCTATTTTGAATGACAGACTGAATGCAAAATTGATTTTGAGTCTGAGTTCTAGTAAGCCCTGGGTGAAGTTTCTGAATTCTGCAAGCAAATGGCACATGCTTTTTAACGATTGAT